TAAGGTTCCAGAGAGAAGTTTTCATGACCGGACACGTCTAGTCAGTGCTGACCGGACGCTGGTCAGAGTCCGGTCAGTAGCAGAAAAGTAGGATTTCGTCCCCAATGGCTATTTTCTTAGTGGGGCTTATAAATAGACCCCCCAATCGGTCATTTAAGTATAGTGGAGCTAAGGAAACATATCAAGGGTGTTGATACACCATTTTAATGATCTCCACTTATATAGTGCTTAGTGATTCATTAGGTGATTAGCGTAGGTGTTTTGCAAAGTGCTTAGGTTGATTAGACCACCGCTTATGCGCTTGCTCTAGGTTTAGGCCTAGTATTTAGTGAGGTTTGCATACCTCTTACCACTCGGTGTTTTGCGCACCATCGTTGTACATCGGAGGGGCTTGTAGTCTTGTGAGATCACACCAACCGCGGTTATAGTGTGGCCGCCACCGTGTACCGGAGGTAACAAGGCTCGTGGTGTTTTGGCCGGAAGCTTGATAGTGAACACGGCGGGGAGCATCCGGGAGAGGCTTGTCGGAAGGCACGTCGGAGACCCACTTGCGCGTGGGGAAGGCCCGAGGCTATCCACGGAGTTACCCGACCGGAAGCTTGGCCCTTATGGAGTGATTCCTTGCGAGGGGCTCCAACGAGGACTAGGGAAAAGCTTAAGCGCTTCTCGATACCTTAGTAAAAATATCGAAGTCGTCGACGGGAGTTTGCATATCTCTACCTTGCTCTTTAGCTTCCGTCATTTACATTGATTACTTTACTCCTTTTGCGGTAGAGATAGCAACACGCTAGCAAAACCGTAGTTGCACATTTGGATAGTTTATCTTTTGCATAGGTTTTGCTAAGGTTAGAAAAAGAGGCCATAGTTTAGAGTTAGGATTTTAAGTTGCCTAATTCACCCCCCCCTCTTAGGCGTCACGGTCCCCTATAATACATAATAGCCTTTCTTTATGTGTTCTTTACTTTATCGTGTATAGAAAATAAAGTTCTATAATCACAGAAGAATGTACTCATACCTTCGCTCTACGAACTGGCACGGCTTGGCTGCAAGCCGCCTCTGCCGCGGCACACACCTAATCACGTGGACGCCAATGCTACCACGCTCCACCGAGAGAGCCCTGCCACGCCACCAAAAGGACGCCTGAGCCACCACATCAGACCGGGGATCCTCCGCCTCCGCCTCCACCTCTACCTCCGCCTTCGTCACCGCCACCGTTGCCACTGCAAGTCCAGCGAGCACATATTTGTTTCCACTTGTAGGGGATATATCCAATTTAGGTCAACCTATAGGGCATCCACACAGCCAATAGGAAACTATAGCGACTCCAAAGAGATGTCAGCACAGCCAGGCGTCTAGCAGAATGGTAAAGACGCTCCAATCCTTGGTCCAGATCCCATGTTTGACTCCCAGGTATCAGACCTTTTTTTGAGAAATTAAACCCCGACGGCACACATGGTACAAGTGACACACAAACCGTCAGGTCCCACAGGTCGGATGGAGATGGAGAAAGGTCCCATAGATACGCGTAACACGTAAGCCGTCGGGTCCCACAGGTCAGATGCAGAAGGACCGAGCGGAGACTTTTATGATGAATTGCAAGCATCAAGTGACACGCAAGCCGTCGGGTCCCACAGGTCAGATGGAGATGGGTCGTCGGGTCCCACAGGTCGGATGGAGATGGAGAACGGTCCCACAGGTAACCGTCAGATCCCATAGGTCGGATGGAGATGAAGAAATGTCCTACAGGTATATGTGACACGTAAGCCGTCGGGTCCCATAGGTCGGATACAGAAGGAACGAGCGGAGACTTTTATGACGAATTGCAAGCATCAAGAGACACGCAAGCCGTCGGGTCCCACAGGTCGGATGGAGATGGGCCGTTGGGTCCCACAGATCAGATGGAGATGGAGAACGGTCCCATAGGTACACGTGATACGTAAGCCGTTGGGTCCCATAGGTCGGATGCTGAAGGGTCCTGCAGGTACACATTGGATGGAGAAAGGACCGAGCAGAGACTTTTATGACAAATTGCAAGCGTCACAGATGAGTAACTACAGGTCCCAAAGGTACACGTCGGATGAAGAATGGTCCCACAGGTATACGTCGCATGGAGAAAAGATCGAGCATAAACTTTTATGACGAATTGCAAGCATCACGGATGAGTAATTGCAGGTCCCACAGATACACGCCAGATGGAGAAAGTACCGTGTGGAGATCTATGATGAAGCACCATTCATTACAGATCGATATTGTTCATCACAAATGTGCAATGGGTTCAATGACGAAGCCCTGTTCGTCACAGTATTAAAGGAGATCGTCACATATGAGTCGCGCGAGTGATCTATGATGAAACTCTTTGCTCTTCTATGATATTTTTTATGACGATGCCTGATTTCGTCATAGATAGGGAGAGTTGAAGAATCGTCACCACTGATATATGACAAAACAAAAAAATCATCATAAAAAGCGATCTTCTATGACAGTTTCGGAATCATCATTAAGATTTTTGTTATATAAGTAGATATTTCTAGTAGTGTATGGGTAAGTTTGAAAAGTCAGATCAATTTATCCGGAGGAGAATTTTTAATTGAACGCATGTGTACTTTTGAGGCGTGAAAGCATTGTAGCAACTCCTGGTCCATTGCTAAGTTTTGCTTTGCTCAGGGATTGACAAAGGTTAAACTTAGGAAAGCTTGTTTACGATCATTAACATCAATTATAAACCGTCAATATAACCTACATATATACTTAATTCCATCAACAAACATAGGTATAGGGGTTTAAACTGATAAATTCCATAAGTTTTAATGAATCTGTGTTTCCAGCAGGGTATATCTAGAAAATCACTCAAGGGGGACCTAAACATCAGAATTAATCATACTTATCCGCGACGAAACTAGTACCAGAAGGTTTCAGAAAGATACCAGAGGACAACCCACCACAGCAGAGGCCAAGGGGCTGCCAGGTGGGGCCGGCTGGTCCCACCTACAGGTCGGCTGGCCTATGAGCCCCCTGGTTAGCCTCCCCTTCGAATGTCGGTTCTCCACCGCTTCCTAGATTTCATCTACGCCATCCTTTTAAGTCGGTTCGATCCGAGGGTCCAGAATTGACGCTACCCCTATATATACAGCCATGTACCACGTCCAGCAGAGCCATCCTGAAACCATAATTCATATCCTACTCATTAGGATCAGAGCCAGCTATCAAGAGAAGATTAGTGCTTCATAGGATCTAGTCTTGTATTAGAAATAGAGAGATAGAGTGCGAGAGAAGAGTTTGAAGAAAGTACCGGCCTATCGGTGCTCTCTGTACAGCTTGTACCTTAGCGGAATCAAGTTCTTCATGAGCTTGTTTCTGAAATTTCTCTGGTAATCAACTTCTAATTCAAGTAAGTAACGTGTTTATATTGTTCTTCAGGTTTGTGACTCTTTTTTAATACTTTAATCCTTGTTATTCCTGGGTTTAAAGTAGTATTCATAGTGTAAGCGTGGTGCTTAGACTCGGTTACTCGTAGATGTACCCTACATTCTAGATCAGTGGTAGCTCGCGAGGGTGACTCTTATAGCCTCGTTGAATCCTCTGCCATTTATAGGTCGAGCATGATTTAGTTATTATAGGAGATCTTAGTGATCTCCTTTATACTCATGTTATCTTAAGTCTGGTTGCTACTCCGGGTTAAGTTAGACGTAGTTAATCTCATATGTTTTCCTATAGATACAATACTTAAAATACTTTTGAGTAAACACTATAGCGATATCATGCGTTTACGAATTTATCTGTGTGTGTTAATAAATACTTAACGGCCGCCGTCGACGATGGGACTTTGGTGCGGCGGCATGTCGGCTAGGAGCTGCACGTGCAGCTTGGACTCATGTGCCAAGCCGCCGTGGTCATGCGCTGCCGGAGGTGCAGGAGCAGCGCCGCTCATCGGTGACCGTGCTGCAGGGGCAGGTCCGTCGTAGTACTAGGTGGCGAGCATGGTGGCATAGCTGCCCGACGGTGGATAGCTGGCGGCGGAGCAGGCGTGCCTGTGCTGCTGAGTGGGCATGTGCTTCTGCCTTCCGGAAGGCGTGGCAGACGACCCAGCCCTCCTCGTTGCCCTGCAGCCGGAACTCGTGGATGTTTATCAAATGAATGAAAATAAACTTGCGTGCTACCTAGTCTTTATATAGTATAATATTACCAAGTAAACTTCCTAAATGGGGTTACCTGAAACGAATGACAGCATGATCACACGCTGGCCTGCGTCGTATTCTAGATGATACCCATACCCGTAATTATCTACTGGGTATGGGTAATAAGAGATAAGTGGGTATGGGGAGGGTGCGAGGTGGGTAGGCATGTTGGCCCGTTCACGTGTTCTTAAACTCGGTTTGATTCGTTTCTTTTTTTTATCCGAAATAGTGTTTTTCTCTCATAAATTTCTCAAAATTCATCAAGATTCCTTCCAGCGAACCGAGCCGTTATGAATTTAGATATGGGGAAGCGACGGGTTTACCCAAATCTACTCAACAGCATCGTTAGGCATAGCGCGGCGAGGGATGGAGTGCGTAGTGGGGGAAGGGGGCGCGAAGGAGGCAGAGTGGGACGGGACATATGCATGGTGACACTGTGACACCGATGCGAGTGGTGGAGTGGGGAAATTTTAAAGGTGGAAATGACGTAGATGTGCTGTTGGGCCTGTACGTTGGACAGACCCAGGAAGGCTGTGTCCTGATGAGACGGACGACCGTGTGCAAACATTTTCAAAAACAAAAATAGACAAACAAGATTTGAGTTGAGAGTATGAGACCCGACGGCACGCACACCACGAGTCCGCGACCCCCAGCGCCCGCCCACGACGCGTCGACGCCAATCTCCCGTACAACCGTTCCAGTTCCGGATCACTCTCTCGGCTGCCACTGGTCCTCTCCCTCCCCCTCTCGGCTTCCCCGCTCCGCTCCTTCCCCCGGTCCGGACGAGATATTTCCCGAGACTCTGAGAGCCACCTCCTCCTGGTCATGTCGCTGCTCGCCGTCGCCTCCTCCACCCGCGCCGCGGCAGTGCGGCCGCTGTGCGCCTCGGCGGCCTCGGGCGAGGCGGCGCCGGCGCCGGCGCCTGCTGCGACGGAGGCCGCAGGGCGGAGGCCGGTGAAGGTGATCCTGCCGAAGAAGAAGCCGCAGAAGTGGTCGACGGGGATGGCGCCGGGCGAGTACGGCGGCGGGCCGGCCACAGTCAAGCCGCGCAAGTACTGGTGGGGGAAGGAGGACCGCGACCCCGTGGGGAACACCGACGACTTCATCTGGAACAAGGACTTCCTCCCCCACATGGAGCGCGTCATCGCCAACGGCGGCGCCGATGCAGAACCCACCATCACCCGCCTTGCTCCGGTATGTATCAGTATCTCGAGTTCCTTCACAGACCTGTTCGATTTAGCGAACGAACTCACCTGCTTCGTCGTAGTTGTCTCAAACCTTTCATCGAGCTTAGAGTCTAGGAGTAGTTAGTTCTGAGCAAAAATTCGTGTGAGCAGGTGGATGAGGAGGAGTCCGGGTTTCTGAGCATCAACCGCGCAATGAGCCTTGACAGGTCACTATCTCACCCCACCTGGTTATCAAGCAAATTCTCTGCTCACCAATTGTTGTTCCGACTGCAAAGTTGAGTGATCTTTGAATGGATTACAGTGTGGACGTTGATCTGAGCCAGGAGCTTCTGGCGCCGACCAGGCCAATCTTGCAAACCCAGGTTGAGGCTGCCTGGAGAGGACGGGCAATTGGTGCTGAGGTGAGATTTCCCTTTGTTCAAACTTCAATTCCCTTTTCTTTATTATTATGGCCCTCCTTTGCCTCCAATCCTGGAGATGGTGAGTCGTGACACAAGTTGTGATATTTGAATATGGATGTAGGCTGTGAATGGAGCCAGCACTCCTAGATGGAGGCTAGTCCCAACTCGCAGGGAGCAGGCAAAGTGGGACAGAGCAGCCAAGGCAGCGACTGGTGGAAGTGTAAGTAACTACAGTCCTTTAACTGACTTGTTAGTTGCTCTAGATCCTGCCTGATGTAGCAATCTTACAACTTATGTCCACAATGTTTTTATGGTTTGTACAATATTTTTTGTAGTATTTTCATAAACTTTGTCTCGTTCTTTTGGTCCCATTTCAGGATGTTATACTAAGGGAGTCAAAGTCAAGAGTGAAGCAAGGGGACCCTAAGGTATTGGCAGCTCGGTCCAGAGAAGACTACTTAAAGGTAGTCATTTTCTTCCGCATGTAACCTCTTTAGAGAGTTGCATGCTGCACATTTTATGTGTCCCAGTATTATGTGCTCTTGAATATGAAGTATGCATAGATTATCTATTGGTCTTTGATAACTTTCGTATTTGCAGCTGAAACAAAGATTACAGTGGCTCACTTTAGGCATCGGTGGCGTTGGTGTAATCTCTGCTTATATTTCATACTCTCCTGAAGTTGCTGCCAGGTATGAGTTTATTTATTTTCTTGCTACCTTCTAATGTGACATAGATAACTTTTAGTTTTGACTGTTTATGTAGAGATAAAGTTGGAAAATCTCTTTTTTGGTTACCAGTTCTTGGATCGATTTACTTCAACTGACAGCAGTTACTCTTCAGCTTTGGTGCAGGGTTGATTGGATCATTGGTGTATCTCCGCATGCTTGGAACCAGTGTAGATTCCCTAGCAGGTGGAACCGGTGAAACTATCAAGTATGCTTCCTTCAGTTAGTCATTTACTTATTTCACAAATCTTGTTTACAGATAGGCTCTCAAATAAAATGTACTTAGACTTTCAGTTTCACACAGTCAGTTTGTGCTAAATTTAGTTTCTGACCTCATTCTACAGGACTATCAGTTCTATTTTCAAAGTTGAAAGTTACTCATGTTCAGCTTCTTTGAATAAAAATAATGTTTGACAACCTTTGACAGTAAACTAAACATATAGACTAAAGATATTTTTCATATGAGATCTTTTGTAGAGTTGTCCTTCAATTTCAAGGTAGATTGTGGAGATCAAATCCAGATATTACATTCTTGTTGTGACTCAGCAGTCAGCACACCACACTTTTGCTGATGTGTCCAGAGTTCCAGACCTGTTTTTGGTTGATCTACAAGGTTTTAGCATCTTATTTTCATGCAGACCAAACAGAGTAGTATGATTTTAGTTTGGTAATCTATCATTTTGTAGAGTTTAACCAAAGAACATGAAAAAAAATGTTGGTTCTCATCTGAATATCATGTTAAGTCAACGCCCTTAGTAAATAATTATTTATTTGTCATAGAATGGCCACTCTTTTGTTTTCTACATGAGGATGTGACAGATCTAAAATAGCTGCTAGGCAGCTTGTAGAACTTGTTTGTGATGAAGACAACCCTTGAATTTGTTATTGTGTACTTACAGGAGTGCTGCTGCACAACCAAGGTTGCTTATTCCAGTGGTACTTGTGATGATGTATAACAGATGGAATGGGTAAGCAGATGAAATTCTCTGTGAACTTTTACAATTGATTCAGAATATTTGGAAGAAGTGCTTCTTCTTACAAGAATCTGTTCTTTCTATCGTGGTTCAGGATATTAGTTCCGGATTATGGTTTCATGCAACTGCAGTTAATACCAATGCTTGTTGGGTTTTTTACCTATAAGATTGCTACGTTCGCTCAAGCAATCCAGGATTCTATACCTGCAGTTGGAAATCGTGAAGGTTGAAAAGTGTCCTGTTGTATATAAACAAAGGTGCTAGCCCTGATCCCTGGTCAGTGGTCACCCAGTAGTAAGGTACCAATCTTCTTTTCTTAATCATGAAAGCAATATGTGTCAACAATAGTTTTCCTTTTTTTATCTTACGCTTTTTTTTTAAAGAAAACAACAAGCAGGATGTCTATCTATTATTCATATAAAAGAAAAGAAGTTAAACCCAGACAGACAATACATTAGCCACGAAAAGGGAAACACCACCCAAGACACACCTATGGGGAAACACCAAACAGTTTTTCGTTTTTAAAAAAAAAAAGGTGTTTCCAGTATGCTTGCAGCCAATGCATGTGCTTCTGACCATTAAGGACAATTAAGGATGTTCGTTATTGTGTCCTGACCTCATGGTGCCCTTGACCCTAGACTTGAAGGAGCAGACACCTATTCAGAATCTCAGATGCCCTACTTTTTGATGTCGACACTGGTTTTAAATTGCAATGAGTGCACTCCCAGCTAATGCATGTGACTCTGTTCGGCTGGGCTTATACGATCGTGGATTATAAGCCGGAACAGTATTTTTCTCTCACACAAAACCAGCCAAACCAGCCAGCAGTAAATAATTCAATATCGTTTCAGCCGAAACGAACAGGCCGGGGTCCCTGAATGGCTGAATGAGCGTTGTTACAGGCAGCAGATCTTTTTTTTTTAATCCTTGCACATTGAGAAATGAAAAAGAAGTACAACCTTTTTTCTGTTAATCCTGATCCAAATGCTTTATTTTATAGGTCTGTATAGAAGAATCTGATCTGGTGTCATCACCAAGTAGATGAGATGCTCGTTGAGGATGCCATTTGAAAATCTTGAGTGCTTAAATATAATGTTTTGCGCAAATATTCTGACAAAAGGTGGTGCAAGGTGATGTTACCACATTCATTCCATATTGCACGCAGACCATCAATGTATACATTTACGGCTCCGAACTTTTACCACAATGATTAATTGACAACACAATTGTATGGTTGAATTCACATTAAGCACGGAATGCAAATTATGTTATGGGCATGTTTGTTTGGGCTTATCAGTTAGAATCTACAGTATTTTTCTCTCACAACAAAATAGCTTCAGCCGGCTTTAATAACTAGCCTGCAAGTACACTCATTTAAAGAAAGTCGGTCAGAAGTACACCTTACGAATGCTGAAATCTTCAGGAAACTAAGGCCATTTTCGGATCTAATAGCTGCTAATGGTTAGCTAATATTAGCTCTAGCTAAGACCTTGTTTAGATTTTATGGTCTAAAATTTAATTGACTACTAAAGTTTGGACCACTTTAGCACAGTGGTCTAGTGAGCTAAGGCTTTTTTGTGAGGTTGGCTAACTTTAAACAACACTCTAGACCACTATTTAGAGCATCAAGAGCTAAAGTTTAGTGGCTAAACTTTGACCATGGGATAAAAAGGCCTAACTATTAGCTGGATTGGCCCAACCAGTAAGATAATTGTTAGTTCGGTAATCAGCCAATAATTAGCTAGATTATTACTAGATAGACCTGTTTGAATACAAATAAGCTAATTCGCCCTGTTCGTTTTGGCTTGTTTGGCTTATAAGCTGTATTTTTTTAGCCAACGGACATTATTTTTCTCTCACACCAACCATGACTTATCAGCCAAACAAGCCCAAACGAACAGGGCGATTATTACCGGTGACCTATTAGCTCTATAAATCCAATAAGTCAGAAGTAGCTAAGTAGAATACATGCATTATCCGGAAGCATACTAGTAGTCGTAGTCACTAGTCAGGCAAATGTTCATACACTTGGCAAGATAATTATGTTTTACCTATGTATTTAGCCAGTCCTAGCGGGAGACATTCATCTGTCTGATTTTTATTATTATACGTACTATTTTTATGTAGACCTATGGAAGTGTGAAATGTGGGGTCTTATTTCATCACTTATACACCCTCTGTCCCCTAAAAAAATACAATTCTTACTTTCCGATGAGTTAAACAATAAACGTTTATGATACCGAGTGAATATTATTAGTCAATTTAATTGGAGATGCTGATATTTTTTTCTCTAAAAATTGGTCAAACTTAGAAAAGTTTGATTTATCCAAAACCTAGAGTTACATTTTTTTTAATGGAGGGAGTAAAACATAGCATTGAGGATGGTCTATATTTAGACTTGGGATTGGGCCGTTTTGCGGGTAAAATGAAGCAGCTCCACCGCAAAATTGTTTAAAAATGATTGATACCATAAACTTTGATAACTGGCTTCTCCGGCTCCTCCTCCAGGCCCCTAAAAAATCTGAGAGGAGCCATGTTACTAAACGTTTAAAGGGCCGATGCTTAACGTTGACGAGGCTGAAGTCAAAAAAAAAAAAATGGCTTCACTAGTGAAGTGAAGCCCTGCCAAACGGGGTCTTAGACTTGGGATTGGGACTTGCACCAGAGCAAAATTGTTTATGATTGATACCATAAACTTTGATAACTGTTTCGGAAATCTGAGAGGATGTGTTACTAAACGTAAGGGCCGATGCTTAACGTTGACGAGGGCAATGACATCTGAGCTGTAGTAGCACTATTATCAAGGCTTTGGGCTAAGGCCCTATTTAGTTTCTACATGCGCTCCTAAAATTCCTATCACATCAAATGTTTAAATATATGTATGAAGTATTAAATATAGACTAATTACGAAACTAATTACATAATTTGCGACTAATTTGTGAGACGAATCTTTTGACAACGTGGTGCTACAGTAAACATGTGCTAATGACAGATTAATTATGCTTTAAAAATCGGCTCGCAAATTAGCCTTTATCTATGTAATTGGTTTTGTAATTAATCTATATTTAATGTTCTTTATTAATATCTAAACATTCGATGTGACATGAATTTTAGGAGCGAGTAAAGAACCAAACACCCCTAAATCACTAAACAAGGTTTGGCTTTTATTTGGAACAACGCTACTTCAACAGTAATTTTCAGCGAACAAACAGTGCTTCCTCTCGTAGCATTTCAGCATCAGCATAATCCAAATTTCCGCGACACGAACAAGGCTGGATTTGAACAGCAAAACGCATTTCCCAGGAGTTGCAAAGGGGAAAAAAGAACTCCACGTACCCGTTCCCATTCCATTCAAGTTTGCAGATCTACGGAAGCTGAATGTTGTCACTAAAAATCAGCCACGAAGGGACGGACATCTTCTGAGCTGTAGTAGCACTGTTATCAAGGCTTTGAGCTATATCACTAAACAAGGTTGGGCTTTTCTTTGGAACAACACTATCCACAATTACAGGCTTGTTTCGAACAACAAAAGGCATTTCCCAGGAGTTGCAAAGAAAAAACTCCACGCAAAATCATCTGATCGAAAATGCCTGCTACACTGCAACAGCCCCTACATACGTAGTACGTACGTACGTACTACCCCTTTCCATTCCATTCAAGAGCCAGTTTAGTTCCCAAAATTTTGCCAAATTTTTAAGATTTTCCGTCACATCGAATCTTTAGACGCATACATAAAGCATTAAATATAATTAAAAAATAAAACTAATTACACAGTTTAGACGAAATCCACCGGACGAATTTTTTAAGCCTAATTAGATTATGATTGGACACTAATTACCAAATAACAACGAAAACCGCTACGGTGCATTTTGCCAAATTTTTTGCATCTAAACCAGACCCAAGTTTCCAGATCTACGGAAGCTGAATGTTGTCACAGATTTCACATGATGCATCATCCAATTCATTCAATGTCACCTGCACATACCACTCGTAATAACTGACTCCGCCGCGGAGGGTAAGAACACGTGAACCAACCATTAAGAAAGGGCAGATGGAGAATGATTGATTTCCTTCCCCTACATTCCAACAAATCATCATGGCTGAATCCGCCACCTGACCTGAGTCACCAATTCGCCGAATTTTACAGCAGCAGCAGTACTACTACTGGTAGTAAACTCACTTTTTTTTAACTCACTTTTTGACTGCCTACCAAACTGAACTGAACTCTCGCGGTCGCAGCAGGCCGGCCCGGCAGCATCCTTTTGGCCACCAAAAGAATCCTAAAATGGTATAGAAAAAACAAAATCTAATAAACCAAAAGGAGAGGACTAGTAGTAGGTGTGAACGGGGGTGGGCGTGGGGTCCCCACCTCCTCGGCGGCTGCGGAGGCGGACGACGCGGCAGCGGCGGCGGCGGTGGCGGCCGAGGCCGATCGGACGTTGGTCGGGCGCGGCCTGCGGCGGCCCGGGGACGCGGAGGCCACGCGGCGGAGCGCGCCGCCGGCCGTCCAGTAGCGGCGGCAGGCGCGGCAGAGGTGGCGTGGCTGCCGCACGTTGTAGTTGTTGAAGTAGCAGAACTTGGTCTCCCGGCTGCCGCACCGCGGGCACGGCAGCGGCTCGCCGCCGCCGGTGCTCCCGGCGGCCCCGGGCGCCTGCTGCAGGGGCAGAGGCGGCTGCGGCGGGGACGGAGGCGGGGGAGGAGGAGGAGGAAGGTCCGTCGCCGTCGTCGGCTGAGGCGGAGGCGGAGGCGGCGGAGGGGCGGCGCCCTCGTCCGCGGCGCGGTGATGCGCGTCGGGGGGCTGGATGACCTTGCCGAAGAGCTTGAACCCCGTGGCGTCGGCGTCCGGGAGGTGGCTGGCCATAGCTCGGGGTGGAGGTCGGAGCTGGAGGCGGGGCCCGGGGTGGGTAGGGGACGCCGGCCGGCGCCGGGTTTTATACACGGGGAGAGGTCGAGGCCGAGGTCGAGGAGGTGGAGATGGTCATCGCTTCTTCCCCGCTCTCACTTTGCTTCATGCGCCTGACTTCTTTGCGTGACCACCCGCGGTCCGCCCGCCCGCTAGTAATAATAAGATTGGAAGGTCTGGCTGAAGGCTGGACTGGAGCATGGACCATGGCATGGCATGCAGCGGCCAGCTAAAAAAAATACGCGGAAACGCTGAGAAGCGTGCCGGTCATGTGGCCCGGCGATTTGGCCGCACTAGGGTTTCGCTCCCTTCGCCGCCCAGAAGCAGTGGGTGCAGCTGCCACTTGTTGGCTGCCAGCCTCTCGTCGTGTTGACCTTGATGGGTTTCTTTTTTTCTCGTTATCATAATCGGTTGACTTTCATGCATGGTCGCAGCTTATTTTTTGGAATAAAACGGATTGGACGCATGTGGCGAGTGATTCTTGTGTGCGGCGGACTCAAAGCTGGATCGATCGGCGGCAGGGGAAATAAAGCGCCTTGTTTAGGCGCTAAGCAACGCACGGAAAGTACTGGATGATTCATGGAAGGGGTTATCTGGTTGCCTGGTTGGTACTCCTACTCCTACTACTGGCTCAGAGGCCGACATGTGCCAGGGAGTACTACTCAGCTTATCTGTTTAGCTAGGCGTTGACATTGTCGCTCTCTATCTTCCGAATTCCGTTGTGTGTCAGTGACTCGATCAGTGCTGAGCTGCGGAAAGCGGAAAGACAACCAACGTTGACATTGTCATCTCTCATCTTCCGAATTCCGTTGTGTGCAGTGCTGCAGTGCTGAGCTGAGATACGGGCGATCCCTATGAGCGCCGCAGAAGATCCCTATGAGCGCGACCAGAAGATAATCCTCTTTGTTTTATTATTATTTCTCCTCCTACTTCCAACTGAGGTGAGAGAAGACAAATCTATGGCTACTAGGCATCTGAAGCTGGTATACAAACTGTGGTTACTAACCTTCCAAAAGCTTACCATATAGTAGTATGGTTACCAAGAAAATCTTACCGCAGAGAGGATCCGAGATAAATTTAGGGGGACGTTCTTAGAGCCGATCGAAGCACATGAACAGATGCAACGAACTATTTAAGCGTTTACGCCTGGCCCTATCTGGAATGTAATGTAAGCTATCCTCGATGGAGTTGACGCGCCGGTCCAAGTTAGGTCGAGCCTGATTTTCCGCCGTAGCATCAGCTCCCCAGTCTTGTCCAATCAATGAAGATGCTAGGAGATCCATCTTGCTCATCGTACGTAACGTGGGCTCCCCGGTTGGATCCGCCCTGACCATATAGTAGTATGGTTACCAAGAAAATCTTCAAAATCAGTGAGAAAAATGTGTATTCGAACAGGACGTTCTTAGAGCCGATCGAAGCACATGAACAGATGCAACGAACTATGGCATGTTTAGTTTCCAAAGGTCCTCTTCCTTTTTGACTGCGGGTGACGGTAAAAAAGAGCATGTTTGACAAACATGCATGGTATAATCTTTTTTTTACTAAACTGTAGATTTCAACTCCGAAAAAAACTAACCTTGCCAGCAAGGGACACCCTTTCTCATGCAAAATCATTTTATGAAAAGCGCAAACTTGTCGTTTGTCACGTTGTTAATCATTTTTAAGCCTCAATCTAAAATACAAAAAACCTGTACATGTGTGCTACAGTAACCCTTTTTCTGGTTCATGCGCTAATCTTAAATTTATAGTAGTAAATCATTAAATTATGTCTCCAACTAGATTTTACTAAAAAATATATTCGATAATTATTCTCATAATTTATTTTTTTATTAGTATCTAAAAATCCCTCACAACGTGCTTCCGACGTATAAACACACGCTACGTGAGGCAGCGGAACGTACGCCTGGCCCTATCTGGAATGTAATGTAAGCTATCCTCGATGGAGTTGACGCGCCGGTCCAAGTTAGGTCGAGCCTGATTTTCCGCCGTGCATGCATCAGCTCCCCAGTCTTGTCCAATCAATGCAACCATGCTTCGGGAGCTAGCTTGTCTCTCATCGCAGCACGTAACGTGACATAATATCTCTTGGTTCCATCGCGATTCTGTTTAGTTTCCTCCTAAATTTTTCAAGATTCTTAGAACAAAACTAAAATCTTTTGAATTTATGGTACTATGAGAAAGATTAAATATAAATATAAATCCAAAACTAATTAGCACAATTTAAACGAAATAGTTTCTTTTGTTCTAACATGTCTTTCTTAAAGTACTCCCTCCGTTCGTTAATTAGTACGGAGGTTGTCTACTATGATTGGACATTAATTGTCAATTAAATAACAACAAAAATTTGTCTTATAATGTCATTTTCTCTCTCTTGCCGTGGAAATATTTCAAGACAAAATCAATCAATACTCCTGGTCCTAAAAAAACGTATTGGCTTGGGACAAACGTTTGTGAGATCAGTTGGTTGGGTGCATGCACTCTTTGCCCTATTCTGGTCGTAGATTCACGAACCCCTATGGGGTAGAACAAGTTGCTCTCAAGGAAGGATCGTAATTTATCTACATGTTTAAAAAATCATCTCGTCTGTCCACGTCAAAACACAGATCTAAGGTAGGTCTAGTCTTACGGGAACTTGTGGTGCCACTGTGTATAGATAGGACAGAAGTTCAAGGATATTCTTGACCTATGTGAGAATATCTTCTTCTTAAGCATAATGCTTGTCTGTCTTGCCCCATGCGGGTGAGTTTTTTTACAGTAAATAAACTCGTAATGACGTCTACAGCTTTTGTGCGCACAACACAAACAAGTGCGTGAGCCTTCTTGTCAAACAAGCATGGGTATAATCTTTTTTTTTAATATATACTAGTAGTATTTCAACTCCCAAGTCAACATCGATCGTGTCTACCTTGCCAGCAAGGGACGCCCTTTGCCGAGATCATGCATAGACCTAGTCCATTTTATGAAAAGCGCAAACTTGTCGTTTGTCACGTTGTTAGCTCATTCAAGCGTGTGGAGGACTACTCCCTCAATCTAAAAAAATACAACTATAAGATTTGTACATGTGTGTTTCTTGTTTGTAAACCCTTTTTTCTGGTTCCATCGTCTAATAAAAATACGGCAACGCTCTTGCTGCCCTTCTAAAAAAAGATTTGTACATGTCAAATTAAACTTGACTTTGACTAAATTTATAGTAGTAAATAGTATTAATATTTATGTCTCCAACTAGATTTACTACAAAATATATTCTATAATTAATTTAATTATACTTGGTTTGTATCATAAATGTTAGTATTTTTATAATTTTAGATAAATTTTAAATTGTTTGACTCTCGAAAAATGATAATTGCATCTTTTTTAAACGAAGGGAGTATATCACAGCACCTAGGGGCGAATCTAGGTCACATGGTCATCGAGGTCTTGTTTGATAATAGTGGAGCCATTAGAAACTATTAGCACTATATGCACTAATTCTATTGGAATTCTCAAAATACGTCAGGGTCAACTAACTCTGATGATAAGCTGTAGCTCTGCCCCTGACAGCATCACACTAATCCAACATTTTACCATGCGGCTGCTAGTTGAATCTACTCCATTTAGTTCCAAAACATAATTTTGTTTGGTTTTCTCTAAGTCAAACTTTGCTAAGTTTATAAAAAAACATAGTAACATCTAAAATAACAAATAAATGCATCATCAAGATATATTTCATGACAAATTAAATTTAACAAAACTAACTTGATGTTGTAGATACACATGCATTTCAATAGACTTGGTTATCTTAAAGTTAGAGAAGATTAACTTAGAACAAAACTAAAGACTTTTATTTATGGTACTATGAGAAATTCTCTTGTGAATACCAATGAGAACAATTAATTCTTGATCATTTTTGGTACTACCTCCAATCACTAGTAGTAAGCGATACTTTGAAGTTGTCTAAACCTTGTCCACTAGTTTCTTTTGTTCTAACATGTCTATAAAATGCACTCTTAACAGAGGTACTCCCTCGTTCGCAAAAGAAAGCAATTGTTGAGTACGGAGGTTGTCTAGCTAAGAAAGAATGCAATTCATAGATGATGATGAGCAGCCGTGACCTAGGGCAATTAATGTGGGATCCAACTTCAACCATTTGTCTTATCTGTTTGCCTAGCCACTCCATGAGCTTCTCTCTCTTGCATGCGTGGAAGTATATTTCCAAGACAAAATCTACTCGTATATAACTTTGAATTCACTAAAATTTGGTACATAAAAAAGTAACTCATCACAGCAAGAGTTTAGAATATGATTGGCTTCAAACAATCTTACTTGAAGCATTGCTTAATTATTTGACACCAGAAGGTGGACTTTCTTAGGAGCTAGGACTATTGGGTTGGTGAGCTAGGAAATCGACTTGTCAAGCTGCTAACTTGCTCCGCCAGAAAGGCACAGCTGATCAACATATATAATCATGTTCGCTGTTCCCACGTAAGCTGCCGGCCTAATAAACTACTATATGCTGCTTTGCGTGGAAACAGTACTCTACGTGGACAATGCGACGGAGATGGCAATATGGCATATTTGACATATGAACAGAACAGCAGCCAACAGGTACGAAAAGCACAACTAACACAGTCCGTCTCATCGTATGCCCTCTGGATTTGGATGAACCGTCCGTCCAGTGCCGTATTTTTCTAAGTAAGGACCATTATTTTTTCTCACGCTAAATCAGTCAACAATATTTTTAGTCATAGCTTATCAGCCAGGTGAATAGAACACGTAATTATTAAGAGTTAACCTCTGCCCTTGTCGCGTGCGTAAAGCTTTCATCTCGTCCATCCCCGGCCGTGCGATCGCAAGGAGAGAGGACAGAGGAGGCGGAAAAGGAGAGGGGATAGGATGACGCAGCGGTCGACGTCGGTTGCTTCAGGGGAGTGGGGTTGCGTAGGATCAAGGCTAGCTTGCCTGGCCCTCCGACACCTCGC